GGGCACATTCTGCATGGAGCACTGGGTGTTATGCACAAACAATGAATCATGGAACACTACATCAAAAACTAATGATGTAAAGTATGGTGGTTAACATAACAATAAAAAATTATTAAAAAAAAAAGCTTGCATTGGAATAAACTCAACTTTGTCACAATAAAAAAAAATAAAAATAAAAAAATAAAAAAATAAAAAAAAGAAGTACAGACAACCTTAAATACTACTTTTATTTTCAAAAATTCTTTTCCCTGTTGTCCTGCAATCTTCAATGTGTCTTAATTTCTTACTAAATGATTATTTTCTCCATTTAGAGAATTCATTTGATGAAGTATTGAGAAGTCTAATTGTTTAATGGGCAGAAATTAGTCCCTGCAAGAGTACTTTAAAAACTGGCAAATTCTAGGCATAATTACAAATTCTTTGAAAGAATCTATTTCTGTACAATAGGTTAATTGGTTTTAAGTAGACAGCACTGGCCACAATTTAAACCCAGCTTCCAATTTCATCCATGTTTTTTTTTTAACAAATATAAGTGGCTAATTATGATCAAATTAGTCCCCTTGAAGGAACAATTGGCTACTTATCCCTGATTTTCAAGATTTAAGTGGTCTAACGCACCTGCAATTAGCTTCCCACTAGCATACTGCCTACAGATCCAGAGTTATTCCGTAAAGTTGTCAGAATCTTGCCTCATGAGAACTCTACAGCCAGATGACCAATGTCTAGTTTAGATTATGATGACTTCTTTGGAAAAATCAAGGCAATTTTTAAGAAAACTGAAGCCAAAATAGAGATTTGCCTAAGGGAGGATTTGGGGCTGGTTGATCCAGACAATTGCCTCAATTCTCTGGACTACCCACATATAGATGATTTGTTCATCTCTGTGATTATAGAAGTACTTACTCTTCTTTTCTTTATTTTAGTGGTGCAATCTATGCATAGACTTGGTGGCATTTACCAGTGAAATATTCAAGGGAGCGGTTTTCCAGTCATTGGATGGAATTATTGTCTCAGCTAACTGTAAGCTGCGGAAGATCTTCACTTTAAAATGCAAGCCTCAAGACACTGCTGATAAAGATGGTATGTTCAAGTTGCTACTATCAAGATTTTTAAATTCTGCAATGTGCTTAAAATTAGACATACCTTTGGATAGCATGAGTACATGGTAATGGTTTTTCTAAATTTATCTTATTTTATTGTGGAAAAACACTTAACATGAGATCTATCCTCTTAACAAATTTTTAAGTGTAGTATATGTTTTTAGTGACTGTAGGTGCAGTGCTGTAAGCAGATCTCTAGAGCTTATTCATTTTGATCAAAACCCATTGATTAGTAACTCCCCATTTCCCCTTCTCCTCAACCACTGGCAGCCACCATTCCACTCTGATTCCTTGAATCTAACTATTTTAGATACCTTATGTAAGTAAAAGCATATAGTATTTGTCTCTCTATAGTTGGCTTATTTCACTTAGCATAAGTCCTTGTGGTTCATTCATGTTGTAGCATATGTCATTCTTTACTCTGAATCACATGTTTATTTTTACTGTAGCTGAATGTCAAAGATATCTTTTTTATTTTTGTGATTATTTTTCTTTTTTGTTTATGATAGCACTTACCATGTGAATTAGTCAGGGTTTCTAGTTGCAAGCAATGGAATCCTCTCTGGGTAGTTGAAACAGAAAAAAGAATTTATATAAGGAAATTAGCCAGTTCATAGAATCTCAAGGATACCCAGAAAGTCAGGCTTAGAGGCTACAGCCAAGAACAAACACAACCCCCACCACAAGACTGCTCCAAGGAAGACCCCCGATAGCTACTGAAACTGGACAAAGACTCCCTAAGTCACAGCATAATGCTGGGCTCTAGGTTCCAGAATTTCTATTATTGCTGCCCTGGAAAACTAAATGTCTTCTTCCTCACCACCTTCACCAGAAGTAGACTTTTCATGTTTCTCTCTATTGAACAAAGGCAGACATGGCTGTGTCTGATTTGTAGAGCCTAGATCACATGCTGCAAGGGTGGCTAGCAAAGTGAATATCTGATTCCTGATGAAGGAGATGGGACTCATTGTGTAGCAATGTCACCAAATTAACAGTGGTGTTCAAGAGATGTCAACATTCAGAGTGCCTGGGTGGCTCAGTGGGTTGAGCATCTGCCTTTGGCTCAGGTTGTGATCCTGGGGTCCTGGGTTCGAGCCCCAAGTTGGGCTCCCTGCTCAGCGGGGAGCCCGCTTCTCCCTCTCTCTCTGCCCCTTCCTTTGCTCTCTCTCTCTCTCTCTGTCTCATGAATAAATAAAATCTTTAAAAAAAAAAGATGTCAACATTTAAAAGGCTCTGCCATTGTCCAGTATATACTATCTCATTACTCTGTGTACATTTCATGAAGTCATTTGAGAGAAATTACATTTATACATTAATTTTCTAATGATCATGTTAAAATAGAAAAATTAGTTATTCCTAGAAAGATAGGAAATATACACACATTATTCATTATATGATTAATAAATACACTCTGCAGATAACTGAACCATCTAGAATTTATAAGATGGCACAAATTCTCCTGCTAAGATAGTCTTAAACAACTGAAAGTATTGAGAGAATACTGATGCTTCCTTTTGATTTTTGTCTGGGATTATTTTTAACAAAATCAATTTTTCTAGAAGCCCAGGAAACAGGACAACACGTAAGATGGCAAAGGTGATTTCTTAGAAGTTTGTATAAAGTAAACTTCAGACTTATGCTCTGTCTGGATGAGTGTCTGAGAAATCCTTGTGTGGTTCACTCTTTGGAATAGGACACTGTGCCTATAAATTTCATTTGATAATAAAACACAGCAGTGCATTAACAGCTCCCCAGAGAGATCACAAGCCAGGAAGTGCAGCCACTCATCTTATGTACCATTTAAAGGCTATACAAGAAAGTGAAAGACTTCATTTAAAAAAAAATATCACCCAGCTAATAAGAAACCTCAAAATTTATAGAAGTATATGTGCATTCTGTATCAGGTCATAGGGGGTGAATCATAACCTGATTAGTATTTTTAAATAAATGTAAGGAAAAAAGTGTATCAAAATATGGCATATTAAATGCAAGTTTTTATCTCTGATCCTTCCTCAAGCCCCACTAAAATTACAGGAATAAAAATGGTAATAAACCCACCAGGATGAAGAGGATGGGAGAGTAGAAAACAGTAGGCAAAGTGTGTTTATAAATTTTGTAAGATTGAGGAGTGACAACTAACTTAGAAGACCAGAAAAAGCTGAAACTCTTGGGTTTACAGAGAGGTTTGCCAATGAGATTCATAACATAGAACCTCAGAGGGACTCAAGAATTGGCAACTCTAGGTACTGCCAAAGGCAGGAGAAGAGGTGTGGCTAAAAACAAGGAGATTAGTTAAAATTCTATACGGGTTGCTATAGGATCCCAGATCCCCCTTCCAACTACAAATAAACAGACAACAGGATATTTATTCTCCGGAGGAAATGAACCAGAGAACTTTCAACTCAGATACATTGGGTACATGGTAGATAGACACCAAAACTAACAGCAAGAAAGAAATAGATAAAGTAAGGAATACATATATGTTTTTCTCAGTTAAGAAAACATACTGCATCTATAAAATAGGAATAATTTGTTCTTGGCTGTATTTCAATAAGCATTTTGTTGAAGTTTTTTACACTATAAGTTTTTTATGTAATTCAGAAACATTTACAAATCATAGGTGTACAGCTTTAGGAATTAACACAAAGTGAAAACATTTCTGTAACCACCACCCAGATCAAGAAATAGAACATTACAAATATCTCAAAACCCTACTTAAATCTCCTCCCAATTATGACCCTCTCTCTTCTTAGAGAGGTAACTCTCTCCTGACTTCTAACACTACAAATTAATTTTACCTATTTTTGACATTTATTTAAATAAAATCATATGGTAAATATTCTTTCATATATACATTCTTTAACAAAACACTGTGTTTGTGAGATTCATCTGTATTGTTTATTTAATTACTGTACAGTATGCCATTGTGTGAATGCCCCACAGTTTGTCTATTTTAGGCAATTTTGAATATTACTGCTGGAATCATTCTACATTTCTCTTGGAGCATCTAGGTAGGCTTTCTTTGGATATTTATCAAGGAGCTGAATGAACACATTTTCAGCATTCTTAATTTCAGTTATTATATTTTTGATTTTAGAATTTCCGTTAGATTCTTTTTTATAGTTTCCATTCCTCAGCTGAAATTCTCTATCTTGTTATCTAATTTATCAAATATATTAATCAAAGTTATTTTAAAAGCCTTGGCTCACAATTCCAATATCTGTCTCTCCTGTGGCTCTGTTTTTATTGTCTGTTTTTCTCTTGTCCTTGTATCCTGACCTGTCTAATAAGTTTTGAGTGAATAAGTTTCATATCGCTGGACATTTCAACTCAGAAACTATACAGCTATTTTGAGACTCTGTATTGTATTGTCTTTCCCCAGAGACTTAGAATCAAAAGAAAAAAAAATGTTTAAAAGAAACCCAAAAGACTGAAAATAGGATCAAAATGTTAAGAATATTAGAAGTTAGTTCAAGAGGACCACCAGCAGAGTAATAGGATTCTAAGATGAGAGGCTAGAGAAAGCAGGAAGGATGATATATAGGAAGATTTCCCAAGAGGCACCTGGGTGGCTCAGTCGTTAAGCATCTGCCTTCGGCTCAGGTCATGATCCCAGGGTCCTGTGATCAAGCACCACATTGGGCTCCCTGCTCAGCAAGAGGCCTGCTTCTCCCTCTCTCACTTCCCTTGCTTGTGTTCCTTCTCTTGCTGTGTCTTGCTCTGTCAAATAAATAAATAAAATCTTAAAAAAAAAAAAAGGAATACTTCCCAAAATTAAAGGCCAGGTATTTTCACATTGATGTAGCTCATCAAAAACAGAAAATGAAAAAGAAAACGAAAAGAAAAAAAGAACCACCATTGTATAATTTAAGAATAGGAGGGAGAAAGAGAAAAGATTACTTAAGCTTCCAGAATTTTTTTAAAATTCAAGTTGCATACAAAGGAGAAGGAATGAAAATAATGATGTCTGACTTCACACAACAACATTAGATCGTAGAAGACCTTAAAACTATAACTTCAAAAGTCTAAGGAAAAATGATTTTCAACTTAGAATTCTATACCCATCCAGTCAATTATTTTTCTCTTCCAAATATTTATTTAAATTTTAGTTAGTTAACATATAGTATAATATTGGTCTCATGAGTAGAATTTAGTGACTCACCCCTTACGTATAACACCCAGTGCTCATCATACAAGTGCATTCCTTAATACCCAATACCCATTTAGCCCATCCCCCACCCACCTCTTTCCATCAACCCTCAGTTTGTTCTCTATCGTTAGGAGTCTCTTATGGTTTGCCTCCCCCTCTCTCCTTCTCTTTCTTTTCTCTTTCCACATGTTCATCTGTTTTGTTTCCTAAGTTCCACATATGAGTGAAATCATATTGTATTTGCCTTTCTCTGACTTATTTCACTTAGCATGATACACTCTAGCTTCATCCACATCACTGCAGATGGCAAAATTTCATTCTTTTTTATGGCTCTTGATGACTACAGTAATATAGTCATAGTTTGGTTATTGTTAATAATGTTGTTATAAACATTGGGGTGAATGCACCCCTTCAAATCTGTATTTTTGTGTCCTTTGGGTAAATACCTAGTAGTGCAATTCCTGAATTGTAGGGTAGTTCTATTTTTAACCTTTTGAGGAACCTCCATACTGTTTTCCAGAGTGGCTGCACCTGTTTGCATTCCCACCAACAGTGTAAGAGGGTTCCCCTTTCTCCACATCCTCACCAACATCTGTTGTTTCCTGTGTTGTTAATTTTATCCATTCTGACAGGTGTGAGGTGGTATCTCATCATGGTTTCGATTTGTATTTCCCTGATAATGAGTGATGTTAAGCATTGTTTCATGTTTCTGTTAGCCATCTGGATGTCTTCTTTGGAAAAATGTTTATTCATGTCTTCTGCCTTTTCTTAATGGGATTATTTGGTTTTGGGGTGTTGAGTTTGATAAGTTCTTTACAGACTTTGGATAC